GATAGGTTTGGAGGGAGTGTCGAGTGGCCGAGGATGCTGTGGGAGGCTCTGAGCTGGGGGAGTTTCACAGAGTTGTGGCCCGAGGAGTTTCTGGAGGGGGCCCAGAGGGAGCAAGGCTGTGTAGGGTTTCTGTGAGCCCTGGGGAGCTCGGCTCTGCTTCCTCCTGCTGCTGACACAGCCCCTCTGCCTGCTCAGGTTCTCACACATGATCCAGGACAAGGCCCTTCGCACCTCCTGGGCACGGAAGATGAAGGAGCGTCAGGAGAAGAAGCTCGTCCAGGACTTGGCACGGCAACTGCAGGAGGGGAAGCAGAGAGAACGAGAGGTAATGGGGCTCGGGAGCTGGGCTTTGGGTTCAGGACCCTGCAGGCAGCATGGCCTGTGTCACTGTGCTTGTGACACTGCTCCCTTTGCTGTGGGTCCTGCCAAATCCAGGCTGTGATGGTCACATGCTGCAAATCACTGGCTCGGAATAAACTCGCTCAGACAGCTCAGACCTCGTGCTGGGGGGGGAACCGCTGCGTGCCTGGGCTTTGTGCAGCAGATTTCATGCTTGGGCGGGTGTCGTTCGTGGGGCTCTCTGACTGGCGACTGCATCAGCTACGGGTCAATGCTGGTTTGAGTTTAAACCAGGTGGGAGGGAGGGACCCACAGGGAACATTTCGGTGCTGCTCCCGCAGGAGAAGAAGCGGCGACGGGAGGAGAACCTGAAGCGGCGCCTGGAGAATGAACGGAAGGCAGAGATTGTCCAAGTGGTGAGTGACAGCCCCGCTCCTGGCTGGGGACACCGCGGTGGCCTGACAGACTCAGTGGCCTCCACATCCTGGGCTCCAGTTTGCTCCAGTTCCCCTCTGTGGCTTCTCCTTTGAAGGATACTGGGAGGACTGGGAAAATCCAAACAAACCCAGCTGTACCGGGCGCTACAGTTGAGCAGGGGGGTGGGGGACTTGGCTTCCCTTTCAAGCTTGAGAAAACCAGAGCTGAGGCTGGCACACGGGATGATAGAGCAGGGGAAACGCAGCACTGATGGGGATCTGAGCACATTGGGCTTTCACATGGGGAAGTCGTGGCTTTTCCATCCGAAAGAGACCCGGGAGCTCTGCAGGGTGGTGGTGAAAGCTGCGCAGCCACGCAGTGGGGGCGAGGGTGGAGTTGTCACCTGTCCCCTCTGACATGAGAGCTGAGGCAACCTGGAGATGCTCTCAAGGAGGAGTTTTAGGCTAAACCAGAAGCCAGACTGCTCTGAGTACGGACTTTGCTCATTGCTACCTCTGCTGCTCCAGCAGTGGGAGGGAGAAGATCCCATGTGGAGAGGCCTGGCTCTCCTGGGGCTGTGCCACGGGGGTGGGAGGCAGCACACCCTGCCTGCCTGTCCCTCCTGGCTTCCCCCCGGTGTGGTCTCTGTGCCTGAAAGCCCCCTCCTCCTCGCCTTCCCCAGATCCGGAACCCGCTGAAGCTCAAGCGGGCGAAGAAGAAGCAGCTGCGGCGGGTGGAGAAGCGGGACACGCTGGCGCTGCTCCAGAAGACGCCCGTACAGCGCAAAGCAGCCGCGGAGGGAGACGGGAGTTGCACCGTGATGCCCGGCCTGGGCCACTGGGATTTTCAAGGATCCTGCTCCTCTCCAGGGACGTTTCCTTGGCAGGAGTTGCTGTCCGGGTCCTTGGTGTTGGACAGACAGCAGGACAAAGCTGGGGCAGGACAAAGCCAGCTGCTGGATTCCCCTCTGCCCTCTGAAGTCGGGGTGTTGGTGGCAGCTGGGGGCTGGAAGAGAACTGCTTCACCTGCCCAAATCCACTTCTTGTTTATAAAAATTACTGAGAACTGATCCAGACTGGCTTCCAATAGCTCTGGGGGATTGGTGGGTGGCTCCAGCTTGGGACCTTCCCTCTGCCTTCCTGGGGTCTCACAGAGTGCCGTGGTTCCTTGCCCCCTGAAGCTCCCCTTCCTCCAAGAGAGATCTCATCCCCAGAGCCCATCACAAATGGAGGGGACACGTCTCTGCTGCGCTGCGGAGATGGGAGTGGGGTGCACGGCGCAGCACAGCCTGACACCCTTCTCTTGGGATGCTGGATGACAGCACTGCTGCAGAGTGAGCTTGGGGGGGCTGGAAGGAAGGGGCGTGGGGTGGGAAACACACCAAATCTTTGCTTTCCTGGCTTTTCTTGCCCACTCCCCCGCCTTTCTGCATTCATTCCTGTTGAGGTCTGTGGCTTCTACCTGCTATGAGCCAGACCAGCAGGGTGAGGGGGGCAAGGTTGTCACTGGGTGGGCAAATGAAACTGGACAGGGTGGTGACAGCCAGCGGGGGCAGTGACAAGCTTGTGCTGTGGCCATGGTGAGGGAACTGGCCGTGTTCTCCTCAAGGCAGAGTGAAGTACAGGGTGGGGGGGTTAATTAGTCCCTGGGGGCATCACAGGGGCTCAGAGGGACCCCAGCGGGGCAGGCAGAGCTCCCCATTGGATGGGAACTGGGGGGCTCACACCCAGACCAGCCCCCATCGAGGGGTGTCTCAGGGCAGGGGGTGGGGGGCTGGCGAGAATCTGTGGGGCACAATGGAGCCGTGGGGCGGCTGCCAGCCTGGCCCAGGTCATTGTGCAGGAGGGCTCTGCCCTCGCCGCGGCCCCGGGTTAATGATTGCTGAGGCGATAGAAGTGGGCAGGCAGCGCCCTGCCTCTCCTGCCCAGAGCACAGCACCAGCCCAGCCTTTGTCCCAGCCGGGTAAGTGGGGGGAGCTTGGAGCCCCTCTCCGTGGCTTCAAGCCTTGCAGGGTTTGGGGGGAGGTTGCTTTCCTCGTGGGACGTATGAGGGGGAGATTGGTGTCTCCTCCCAGGGCTGGGCTGAGGCCTCGTTGGGCTCCCTGTCTGCTGCTATGGCCTGCCTGGCCACACAGAGGGGAAACTGGGTCTGCGTGGGACTGGGGGACCACAGCCCCTGCTCCCACCCCCTGCCCTGGTCCAGCCTTGGGGTGCAGAGGAGGAGGTTGTGGAGAGAGGATGGTAGGTGCTGGAGACGCCGGGGCTGAGGGACAGAAGAGAACTGGTGTTTGTGTGAATGTCTCCACTGCCGAGCAGGTCTGGGGGGGCTGCTGGAGCAGGGTTTAGGGTCAGGGGGTGGGAGGTGCAAGGCAGGGGCATGGTGCTGCATGTCCTCGGGGACCAGGGGACACCTCAGGGACGGGGACCAGGGAAGGAGGGATGCTGGCACGACTGTTTGGGCTGCAAACCCCATGGTGTCATCATCAAGTTGTGTGAATGTCTCCACTGCCGAGCAGGTCTGGGGGGGCTGCTGGAGCAGGGTTTAGGGTCAGGGGGTGGGAGGTGCAAGGCAGGGGCATGGTGCTGCATGTCCTCGGGGACCAGGGGACACCTCAGGGACGGGGACCAGGGAAGGAGGGATGCTGGCACGACTGTTTGGGCTGCAAACCCCATGGTGTCATCATCAAGTCCTGTGGCA